TTCGAAGACGAGGCAGGAGTACGATAGAGTAGCAAGCAAAATGACTGCAATGATCGCAGCACGACCCTGAACCCTTTTCATTGTCATCATCATCATCATCATCATCATCATCCTCATCCTCATCATCATCATCCTCATCATCCTCATCCTCATCCTCATCCTCATCCTCATCATCATCATCATCATCATCATCATCATCATCACCATCACCATCATCATCCTCATCCTCATCCTCACCCTCATCCTCATCATCATCACCGATGTCATTAACATAAACGCTAACATCAGCTTGTGTCAACAAATCGAGGATAGTGACGGCAGCAAGCATGATCCTCGTCTGACGTCGTACATGTACCCCTATCATGTACCCTATTCGCCTGAACCCCCCCACCCCCCTCCATGCAACAATGCATGGTGGGGGTCTACCAATTTCACCCTTTTCAAGCCTGTGCGGCTCAAGCTTTCAAGCGTGGAAGAACCCGCACGCCACTCTCTCCTCCTGACCCAGAGTCTGTAGGGTTTAGAGCTCGTACACCCAAACCCGACACAAAATTCTCTGAAGCCTCGGGCCTGAGGAGCCGGAACCCAGAACGCTCGCACTCGCGATAACTCTCCCAAGTAATTTGGAGCCGCTTACTGATTGAGATGCACTGGACTATTGGGGATGTCCTCAATCGCAAACCCCAGCGCCGAGACACGTAAATCCCCAAGTCTTAAAAGCATCTCCGTAAATGCAGCTGAGACACATGAGCAGACCTCCAGGACGGTCAGCGCGCTCGATGATCTCGACAAGATGTCCTGTCAGGGGCTTGAGGCAACATGGCCAACTGCAGATTTTGGGATGTGGGGTTTAGGGCTGAGGGTCTCATAAGGTTAGAGCTTAGGGTTTCTGGCAGGTGGTCTCTGGGCCTTGGGGTTGAGGGTGAATGTCTCCAGTTGAAAGTCGTCAGGCTTGGAGGTCAGGAGCTTGGGCAATAGGATTCCAGAAGTGATCTGCTACTTGTGAGCTTGTGTTTCGTTTCAGCTTAGCTGTCACTGTTGGAGCTGCTGTTGCTTTTGCGATAAAGGTGCATCGTTGTTGCCATTTTTGGTATGCTCAATGCAGCTCGAGCAGGGTTGAACATTCGGGCTGTTCGGGAATGGTTGGGGATCAATACATACTGCTTCGGCTTGTTACCATTCACTTACCGTTCTGACAGCCGCGATGACCATGGGAATTGCAGTTGCTCCTTTGATCTGGGGTGCTTCAAAGCACCGCCCACTCCAGACCCAGCCGCCGAGTGAGCCTTCTGAGTTAAATTCTGAACTCTCAGCGTCTTCGGGTTTAGGGCTTAGGGTGTAGGTAACCTTGAAACCTACACCTTAACTCTTCGAGTTTACCTTGAACTCTAGGCCCCCCGAACCTCGAAAGCAACGTTGTAAACCCCACCAAATTGGAAACAGGAATGGTCACCGCTTGCACAGTTTCTTTTCGGAGCATGAGGATTGCTACCACCTTCCCTGAACCCAAGAACTCCAAACCCTATAAATCCCAAACCAAGAAACCCTAAGCCCTAAGACTCTACACCCAAACCCTGTACTATAAACTCTAAGAGCCCTGAACCATGAAAACCCTAAAACCTAAAGCCCTAAGCAGCCAAACCTCAAACCCCTATAACCCCAAACCCTAAACCCTAAAAGCCTAAACCCTAAAAACAATCACCAATTTCGTATCAACATTTCTTCTCTTCCAATGCTTTCATTTCAATCTCATATCTGCTTCTAATTGTTCCATCTCATTAGTTATCTTCTTATTTTCTCACCCTTGTAAAGATTCATATGAAGGGAGGAAAAAGGTAAAAGGAATGAAAGATAAGTGATAAGAGAACGAAGTGACCAGGAAACGCATGCTTTCATTACTTTGCACTTTTTGTTCTTATTCTTGGTATTTTACCACCAGTGTACAACAGGAACCACTCGTGAACAGACAACGGACGGACCCTGATGGCTTGGTTTTTGCCTTTTTATATTGTGCTTCGTGCGTAGATTGATGATTCACTGAAGAGAACACCATGCACGATCAATATAAAAGAACTGGATCATCGTCTGTTTCCTTCCTTTCTTACATTCTAAACCTACTTTCGTTCTTACCGCATAAAGGAGAAGGGAGTTCACGCTCATGGTTTTGTTTCAATTTAATTAAATAAAACATGACAGTGAACCCCTGACCTACACTTACCATTCGTTCCTTGTCAGTCATGCTTTCCACCTCCGTTCTTTTCTGGTTACTTTAGCTGGTTATCTGGATAGGAGAAGGCTGTTGTCTCATCTGGTTTAATTATTCGCTACTATCTTCACTTTGTTTCCCTCTTTTTACTTTCGCTTATTTCATGCTTCTTTCCACTTCGTTCGATTACATTATAAATAAGCGAAATTAATAAAGGAAAAAGCATTGAAAGGAAAGAGCCAAAAGTGAAGAGCGAAAACAATGGGATAAAAGGAAGCGTGTTTCGCTCTTCATCTTTTTCACTCTTTTCTTTCTCTCTCTTGTTCTAATTACAAAGAAGCCACAGAACAAAAGAGAAATGAGTGTTGTGTTAAATGAAAATGAGAAAAAGAAACGAACCACGCGCTTCACTTGTGTTCGTTCTTTTGTCTCGTTTCCTTTAATTACAACACAAGAAAAGAAGTGAATGAAACGGAAGCA